TGAACAGGTCCAAGGAGACTGCTATTGTGGGGATCAGAAAACCATGTTGTTGTTATGTGCCATCAAGTTGGCCCCCACTCATAGAGACCCCTCCCTGGGTTTCCGAGGCAGTATCACTACCAAAGTAGATTGCCTCATCTTCCTTCTGAGGAGTGGCTGGTGGGTTTGAACAGCCAGCCTTCTGGTTAGCAGTCAAGTGCCTTAGGCACTATGCTACCAGAGCTCCTCAGAAAACCATAGGAAACAAAATTACCTAATTTTCCTCAGGCTTATTTTATGCATATGTTGAGAACTCACCTTTGAATACACTCCAGCAGGTGGTAGGGGCAGACTTTGTGGCCAGTTTCAACCAGCCAATCTGGATGAACATAGAGCTCATGACCTCACAGGTCTACCAGGTGGCTGACTGTTTTGTCTTTTTGCCCAAACAACTCAATTAGGATCTTCTTCCAAATCATTGAGTTTTTTGATCAAATCAAATCCTTCAGTGGTTTTAACATTTTGTAGATATCACCTAGAGTTCATGGGCAACACAGTTAACACACTTAGATGATAACTGAAAACGTGGTGGTTCAAGTTCATCCAGAAGTGCCTTGCAAGAAGGGCCTAAGGATCTACTTCTGAAAATCCAGCCATTGAAAATCCTATGGAGCCTGTTCCGGACACAAATATGGACACGTGGGGTCACCGTGAATCATAAAGGACTCGGTGACATCTTATTACTGGTAGGTACCCTCTAAGATGATGCTTGGTAGGAAGGTGATATAAAGGCAGAAAAACTCTGTCTCCACTTTTTGTCTAACACACTGTGATGATTTACCTACGTTCAAAGGGGATTGTGTGAGTTTAGACTTGCTTGCAAATTACAGATTAACATATAGTCCAGAGCTTCATATTCCTGGGGTTAGCCGGCTTGCTTCAGTTAGCTGACTTCAGGGCTATTATATTCTCCTTTCTCTGCCCTTAGTTAAGAAAGACCGATGTCTAGGAGGAATTAAAAGGCTCAAAGGGTAAATGGCAGATGGTGAATGATGTTGTTTCCCATGCTTCTCTGTGTACTTGGAAATCATTTGGAAGAATGGGAATTCCAGGACCCTTAATTGTGCTCATGAGGAACCTGTACATAGATCAAGAGACAGCTGTTTGAAGAGAGAGCAAAGAGATACCACTTCTTTCACCATATTTATTAAATCTGTCTGCTGAGTAAATAATCCAAGAGGCTGCACTGTAGGAAGGACAGGGTTGGAGGAACCTGTGACACACAGATGACAAAACTTTGCTGAAAGTGAGGAGGACTTGAAGTGCTTACTGATGCGTATCAAAGACTACTGCCTTCAGTATGGATTACACCTCAACATAGAGAAAACAAAAATCCTCACAACTGGACCACAAAGGCACACCACGAGAAGCGGAGAAAAGATTGAAGTTGTCATAGATTTCAGAAAAAGAGGAAGACTCTCAACAATGTGCTCAATCATGGCAACGGTCCATCTTGCTGAGGGTCTCCCTCTTGTTCACTGACCCTCTACTTTACCAGGCATGTAACACAGGGGGTCACCATGAGTCCAGGGCCAACTTGATGGCAGCTAACCATCCCCCCCAAACACATCAACAGTTGGCGTTTTCCAGTCTCTAGAGCTACAGGCTCAGTATGTATATGATCTTCTTTCAAAATGGTCATAAGTGACAATTTTACTAAATATTCTGTCACTGCATAAAGTGCATATCTAGCATAAAATATTTATTTTTCTTTCCAACTCCTTTCTGTCTTCTAGGTCTCTCACTCATTTATCTCTATCTATCTATTATCTAAATATTTCTTATATATATTTTTTTATTATGGTAGTATTTCACTTCATGATATCTCATTTTGTTTTTCTTAAGTTAAGTATTATTGTCCTTACTTTAGGCATGAAAAACTTAGGATCTGAGAAATTAAATCATTTGTCCCAGGTAGAATCAGGATTCAGATACAGGCTGATTTCAAAATCCAAGCCTGGTCTACTGCCATATACTCTGAGCACTCTTTCAACTATAAGAAGTCTGTCTTTTTACTTATAGAATGGTAAGGTGGCTCAGTACTTTTTGAAAACATCAGACAAAAATGAGAGCAGGAATAACAAAAACATTGAGTGATCAGAGTGGGCAGCAATTTGCAATTTCCATTTTTCTGAACTAAGTAAGAAGAAAGAAATTCCAAAGGAGTGACCTGAGTCTCTAGAGTGATGAGGAGAAAGGTCTGTTTCTCAAACCCCTCCTGTCCCTGGCCAATTACAGACTTAGTTTTGTCTTAGGCAACATTCCATGCTTACTAGTGTGGTTAGTTGAATTCAATGAACAAACAATGCATGATTCCCAGGGATCTCCAGATACAATCTTTGACATAGTGAAAAAGGCACTATCAGTGAGAGCAACAACAAGAGGAAAAGGATGGGAAATCCATGTGAAAAAATGTGGCAGGGATGTCTTCTGACATCCTGTAGATTCACAAGCAGGGAAGATCAAGACCAACAGCCCCAGGCTGAATCCTATAACATGGAGGTCAGATTTGCCTCCAACTTCCACCTTTTTACCAACACTGCCAGCAACTGTCCTTCCCATGGCACTCTCCACCTCTGCTGGGTTCAGTAATTTGTTGCAATGGCCACATAGAACTCACAGATCCAAGAACGTCTCATGCTTCCTTGAGTCTGGGGCCATGGGAACCAATTCCACTTCTGACACCAAGCGTAAAAATGCCTTGGAGGGTCTGACCTCCTTTAACTTCACCATGGGGAGAGGGAGGGGGAGGGGAGGGAAGGGAGAGGGGGACCATTATTAGCATCAACAGCCAAGGGCTGATTTCTAAGGTGGAGGCCAGACTTGCCTCCACTCTCCAAACTTTTTACCAGTTCTCAAACCAGCTGTCCCTCCCACAGCACTCTCTACTTCTCCGTTGAGTTTGATGGTTCAATAATTAGTTGGAATGGCCACACAGAACTCACAGAGCATATTCATAATTATGGGGTTTATTAGGGGTTTAACAGGTTATAATTCAGGATCAGAAATGACTCAGGATACAGTTTTTTGGTCAGTAGTTTCTTCTCAGCTGTGCCTGTAGGTATGTCTTTCTCTGGCCTTCAACCTCTCAACTCCACCTCTACCCTGCTTGGGCAAGTGTTACAAAGCTCTTTTAGCTTTGCCAATAACTGCCAAAAGGCACCTTATTCTGCCAGTTAGCCTTGGCCTGAAGGTGCTTAGCTCTAGCTCTGTGGGTCAGCAAGCCAACCCACCAACAAGTACCCTGAGGTTTTCCATTCCACCAGCAAGCTTCCTGTCCAAAGGGGCTCAGCTTTCCAGTTCCATAGACCAGAAAGTCCACTGCACCATCTCCAGCTGGTCTCCTGGTTCTGCTGCCTCTGCTGCTGCTGTTTCTCTGCTCTTGCTTCTAGACTTCTCTCTGCTGTTACAACTTTCCATCTCTGTTTCCTGGGTTTAGGCGGCTCCCAGGACAGGAACCCCAGGTACAAATGATGTGCTCTATGCTTGGCTCTTCTTTCTTGATTGTTGTGAAGTCTCCCTTGTGCTTTGGAATTAGCTTTCTTTAAATCTAGTGGGATGGCAAGACTGAGTAAACCCCTCATTAGAGTTCCATATACATTATTTTCATGGTCTCATCCCTTACAAGTGTTCCATGCACCTTATTTACATTATTGGCAAGATATCTAATATACTTGATGGGCCACAGCACCTCATTTGCATATTCCCATCCAATCATTTGGTGGGAGTTATGAGGACTGTGGCTAGAAGGACCATATTAAGTAATTTACCACATTGCACCAAGCCTGAGTGCAAAGATTTTTGACGTGAGATGAGATAAACTCAACACCCTTCGGACCCCTAAGATTCTATAAGCTATGATCCTACAGAGCAACATGAGAGTGTTGGGTGCTTCTGAGAGGAAGAGATGGAAGAGTAGGAAAGTGGACAAAGAAGAAAGTATCATAGGATGGGTGGAAACAAATTTTACCACATTTGAAGTTTTGTTTGTGTGCTTGGTGGCACTAGTCTACCTTCTCTCTGATTTTGGGTACAAGTTGCATATAGTGCTGATACCTATTAGGATATGTAGATTTCAGGAGAAGATGGACTAAGGTGAGAGATCTATCTATCCAGATCTACATTCTCTGGGACACCTGGAATCTTCCAATGATTTTTATTTTATTTATTTATTTTAATTGTGATTTGGGTGAAAATTTACAGGACAAATTCACTTTATGTACAGCAGTTCACATATACTTTGTCTCATGACATTGACCA